TTTGAATGGGAAGGGCCTTAATCTCCCAACAAAAGCAAAAAAAAATTGTTTAGGAATTATTTCTTACAAATATAAATTTCATATAAGTGCATTCTTGGGATGGGTCTGGTGTATTTTTAGGAAGGCATAAATTTCAATATGGGTCCCCAGCCCTTTCGTTTTGTAGCAATTTCATCTCCATCGAATTTCTATCACCCATCTCGTCCTCAACCTTTCATTTATTCAGACATATTGTACCTATTAATGATTTTCATCCATTTTTACTGCTAATGTCCAATGAAAGAACAATGCTATCCTAAACTTTAAATAAATAAAAAGTTCGTAAAAAAAGGTAACTCGAAAGGACAATAATAATAATAATAATAATAATAATAATAATCTTCCCTGACGCCACTCCCCTATCCAAACCCACCCTCAAGCACCCAAAGGCCAAATCCACCTATCTCAGTCCCAGTACAATTGTTGACCCTAGGATGGACGGGGCTTTGATGGCGAAATGAGTAATATTACGACATTGTATGCAGTGATAATATGCTTTCTGCTTTGGGGGTAGGACCTTCGATTGAAGTATGGGATCTACGTGGATCTACTCCAAGAAGGAAGATGATTATTCAATCTCCTTGTCCTCGAAAGTTCATTTAGAAAATGAAGAGGCACCATCATATAAATTAGAAAAAGTTTCAAATAGAATAGAAACTTGCATGCATCCATTAGTGAGCACCTATTAGTGCACCTTCCTGGAAAGCGCCTTGCCCAAGGCAAAGAGTTCACAGTGTGAATGGGAAGGGCCTTAATCTCACCCAAAAAAAAAAAAAAAAAGAATCGTTTGGGAATTATTTCTTTCAAATATCAATTTCAAATAAGTACATTCTTGGGATGGGACTAGTATATTTTTTGGAAGGCATAAATTTCATTACGGGTCCCCAGCCTTTTCGTTTTATAGCAATTTCATCTCCATTGAATTTTTATCACCCATCTCGTTCTCAACTTTTCATTTATTCGCACATATTGTATGTATTAATGATTTTCATCCATTTTTACTATCAATAATTCAGGGAGTGAATCAAGATGTTGGTCTAGAATATTAACATTCAATGACTCAAAAAATGTGAATTTATTAACTAGCTAAGAGATTTATAAAGATTGTTTTGAAAATTTTAAAAACTTAAGTAATTGGTTGGTCGTTGACTTGTTTTAAACTATTTCATTTTCCCACATTTTTCAACCCAACGAGCATCCAAATTATAGTGGAAATAAAGATTGGAAATAATACGGCAACTAATAGTCAACACTCGACACCATGAAAATCTTAATTTTTATCTATTATATTTCAAACATCCAATGAAAATATAGAGCGAAAACTGTTAAGTATTCCAGAAACAGAAAAAAATACAGAAGACAACAATACATGGTAGGTATTCCTCTCAAACAAATATCGAACTTGACTGACGAAGGACTAGCATCGATTGCATATGAATATGACAATCAAACAGAGAATGTAAATGAACCCCGAAAATACCTTGAGGATTAACGGGAAACTCATACTAATGCCTAAAAAGAAAGCTGTGGAAGTACACAATATTCCAGCCAGTTCCGTCTTTTTGGCCCAGTCTGGATACCTGCTTTGCATATATTTTCTCACCCACATGAACGAAAATGCAAGAATCACGAGAATACAGAAAGAGATCATTGGTAAGGTTTCTTTTCGACTTGGTGGCACCATTGCAATACCAACAGCTGATTCGAAGCAGAAAGAAATGACTGGACCTGTCCAGTCGAAATTCTGTGGCGGAAGAGGCAGTGGATTACTTTGATTGTCTTCAGAGGCCAACATGGGAGGGGGAGGATCCTGGACGTCATTGGGTGGATGCACAAACAGATAAAGATTTATCAATTTGCTCTTCGCTCCTTGGATCCATTTCTTAACAATTTCCATTCTCAGAGAAAACAAGAATTCTTATTCCTTCTTAATTAATATTAATCTCTGATTCTCTCATTCAAAATATCAGTGCCTTTATATAAATATGTAGGCGGGTTAAATTCACCTATTAGTTCACTTTCCTGGAAAGTGCCTTGCCCAAGAAAAGAGTTCATAGTGTGGATGGAAATGTTAGAAAGGTACCCCAGCCTTTTCGTTTTGTAATTTCATCTCCATCCTCAACCTTTCATTTATTCGGACATATTGTACCTATTAATGATTTTCATCTATTTTTACTGTTAATCCAAAGAAAGAACAATGCTATCCTAAAACTTTAAATAAATAAAAAGTTCATCAAAAAAGGTAACTCGAAAGAATAATAATAATAATAATAATCTTCCGTGACGCCACTCCCCTATCCAAACCCACCCTCTAGCGCCCAAACCCACCTATCTCAGCCCTAGTACAATTGTTGATCGTAGGATGAACGGGCTTTGTTGGTGAAATTGAGTCATATTACGACATTATATGATGTGATAATATGCTTTCTATTTTGGGGGCAAGACCTTCAATTGAAGTATGGGATCTACGTGAATCTACTTCAAGAAAGAAGATGATTATTCAATCTCCTTGTCCTCGAAAATTCATTTAGAAAATGAAGAGGCACCATCATATAAATTACAAAAAGTTTCAAATAGAATAGAAACTTGCATGCATCACCTATCAGTGCACTTTCCTGGAAAGTGCCTTGCCCAAGGCAAAGAGTTCACAGCGTGAATGGGAAGGGCCTTAATCTCACAAAAAAAAAAAAAATTGTTTAGGAATTATTTCTTACAAATATAAATTTCATATAAGTGCATTCTTGGGATGGGTCTGGTGTATTTTTAGGAAGGAATAAATTTCATTATGGGTCCCCAGCCTTTTCGTTTTGTAGTAATTTCATCTCCATCGAATTTTTATCATCCATCTCATCCTCAACCTTTCATTTATTCAGACATATTGTACCTATTAACTATTTTCATCCATTTTTACTGCTAATGTCCAATGAAAGAACAATGCTATCCTAAACTTTAAATAAAAAAAAAGTTCGTAAAAAAAGGTAACTCGAAAGGACAACAACAACAACAACAACAACAACAACAATAATAATAATAATAATAATAATAATAATAATAATAACCTTCCCTGACGGCACTCCCCTATCCAAACCCACCCTCAAGCGCCCAAACCCACCTATCTCAGC